GATCAAAAGGACAAGAAAACGGGGGGTAAAAAACAGAAAATAGAAAATTAATTATGCTGGAAACTTTTAATTGCAATTAAAAACTTTTAATTGCAATTAATTCACCAATTTTCACACTTTTAATGCGTCTTCTGTGTGCTGCACTAACGCTGAAGATATAAGTAGACGGAGTGAATCAACGCGAAGCAAATGTTTATATGTGCATATATATGTATATATATATGTACATACATATCTGTAGTCTTTTTCAACCAATTAGTAATCGCGTGTTGTTAAAGGAGAAAGACTTGTGCAAAGTCTTCTGGGAAAGAATCCGACGAGGAAGACATAAAGGGGTTGATTGCAACAATCACGAGCAATTAAAGCCGATAATTTTTGTCTATTTAATCATTTATTTGCGAAGTTAAATAATTTTATTTGTGTTTAGGGTCTATTATCCACGATTGCTTCCAAGGGGAAGTTCTTGTCACTGACGCGCAAAGTGAAGAGGGCAGAAAAACGCCATTTTTGTAAGATTTCATATATTGTCCTTTCCATGTTTCTCCAAATGTCTCAGTGAAACATAATCTATTTTAGTCTTTTTTATTACTTTTAGTTTCCGTTAGATGTAATCTGTTTTACTCTTTGTATTACTTTTAGTTCCATTCATGAATGCGTACTTGTGTTTGTTGTTTGCTTCCCTTCCAATTCACCTTTGGGTGTTGGATATTTTTTGCCTGTTTTTTGCTCATTATTTGCCATAATGTACTTAATTTTAATTACAATTTTAATTTTAATTCGTCATTTGTTTTCATGCTTCTGCTTTATTTAGGTATTTGACCCTCGACTTGCCGCCAGCGCCCATTTTCAAGGACTCTCTTGACCGCAACATGATCCCCACAGTAAGCGGAGCCACAATTCAATAGAGTTTATTTCAAACTTTAATTAAAATGCATTTAAGTAAATTGCTGCAGTTATATGAGCCACAATACAGTGTTTGAGGGTCTATAAAGGCACACAACGGTACACGCGAGCCCAAAAGTTCACACCAAATGAGAAGGATCTTCTTAATTTCCCTTTTTCGCTCTTCTCATTCTGTTATTTCTTCCTGAACAGTCAGGTGGATAATTTCTTTTTTAAATGTTTTATTTGCTTCGGAATCGGGTTCTTTTTTCTTCTTTTATCTTGCATTAAGTCTGTTATTCGGGCGCGTTGTGCAGTGTGAAAAGACGGAGAAACATGCAGAACATTTACGCACATATTCAGAACCTCCTTTGATTGTATTTCAGTAAATAGTTGTTTATGTATTTGATATTTATGCTTTTAATATTCTTTTCCGTCTTCTTGTGTTGTTCTCAGGTTCCTATTTTCGACTTGTTACAGAAGTTCGACGGCGAGACGGACAGTGTAAGAAGCACCTTTTGCAACTATGAGCATTAAATACACAAAAGAGAATAAGAAAAAAACAAGATCTGATTGTTTTCGAAGATATAATAAATGGATTAAGCCTCGCTGAATAGCTGCAATGAGGGCTCCGCTGTGCATATTTCCCGTTTATTTTCTCGCAGAAGCTCACCTTTTTGTTCAAATTTGTGTTTGAATTGCTTTAATTTCATTATTATTGAATTGCTGCTGCTGCAAATTCATTTGCAGGGCCCCACGCCGCTGCAGCGCAAGAAGTGCAGTCTTTACAAGCTGCCGCGCTATTTGGTCCTCGCGGTGAAAAGATTTTCTAAAAATAATTTCTTTGTCGAAAAGAATCCAACAATTGTGACATTTCCAGTCAAGAACCTTGACCTGAGGGAATGTAAGAGACACAGAGCCCCTCTAGCTAGCTAGCTAGCCAAATGGCTGGCTAGCCAGCTAGCTAGTTAGCTTATTCGCAAGTAACTTGCCAATAACAAGCTGGCTAGCTGGCTAGCCGGCTAGCTAGCTAGCTAGCTAGCCTTGTGACTGCAGAATGTCCGACGGAGTCAACTGCTGCTCCTTGCCACTTTTTCTTCTTGCTTGTTTATTTCACTCATCAGTTAATCTCGAATTAGTATCTTTATAAGCATTTTTGGAAATATAAATGCACATTTGTTTATGCTTTTATGTTTTGTTTTTTGAAATGTAAGTTTTATGGTTTTGCTTCGTGTTGGTACTCCATTTGATGAAATTTTTTCGTCTTTGCTGGTGGTTCCCACCACCGACCATTGATTTTGGACTCAAATGGTTTCAACTTGAATTTAAATGCTTTTAATTCGAATTTAAATGGTTTTAATTTCAATTTAAATGGCTTTTATTTCCCTTTTTCCGCAGATGTGCACCCAGATGCACTAGAAGACAATCCTGTAACTCGCTATAATTTGGTTGCAAATATTTGCCACCAGGGAAAGCCCCATGACGGGTTTTATAAAGCACAAGTGCTGCATGCAGTAAGTTTGAAAGCTTAAGTGTTTTATTTTTTAAACTGTAAATGTTTTTCTTGAAAACTTTTGATGTTTTTGTTTGAAGAAATGCTTTTGTTTGATAACTTCAAATGTTTTTGTTTGTATAAGTGCTTTTGTTTGAAAGCTCTAAATGTTTTTCCTGAAAACTTTAAATTTTTTTTTGAGAACTGTAAATTCTTTTATTTGAGAACTTCAAATGTTTTTGTTTGAGGGCTCTAAATGTTTTTGTGACAAGTCCAATTCAGGGAGTAGCTTCAACAAAGTGGGCCAGTTGTTCTACTTTCTCCTCATTAGTTCTATTTGTTTCCTATTTTTAGTTTTTGGAATTATAATATAAATATATTTATTTATTTAATTGTCTTTTTGCCTTTTAAAATGTTCTGTGTGCATTTTTCTATCCTTGACATTCGGAAATTGGCTTTCTGAGAACTTGTGCAAAACTTTCATCTGTCGGTTCGGGAGTTTCGCCGTGTTTAACGTTTAACAAATTAATATTCAATTAATTCAAACGTTTTCTTTTATTTTTAATTTATTTTTATTTCTTTTATATCCTTTTTAATTTCTTTCTTTTTCTGGCCAATGGCAATGAGTGAATTCCACTTCATTTACGTTTTGCCTTCCTTTGCAGCCAATCTCTCTGTTCTTAACTCCCCAGCAATCTGCAAAGGCTGTCAACTTTTCATTTATTTATTTATTTATTTATTTATTTATTTATTTATTTGTTTATTTATTTGTTTGTTTATTTATTTTCAGCCGACAAACGAATGGCACGAAATGGAAGATCTGCGGGTGACTCCCGTGTTGCCTCAGTTCGTGGCGCTATCAGGTGGGTTTCGCCACTTTGGGAATTTTGTCATTTTTCCCTGTTTTCTGTTCTTTTTTCCCCATTTTTCTCCCATTTTACTTCTTTTTTCATTTTAATTCCCTTTACTTCCCTTTTCCCGCTTATTTCCCTTTATTTCCTGAAGATTCCGCTGCAACGGCGACTCTGGCGGGCTGCATGCGCGCAGAGGCGTACATCCAGTTTTACCAAAGACAAGATGTTATGGCTGACGGCTCCCTCGACGAAGCTCTGCAGCAAAAGTGTCTTCAAGAAATGAAAAAAGTCAAAACTCAGGCGGAGCCCGAAGACGAAATCGAAGACATTTTTGCTGCTTAAAATAAATCCAAATCAAAAGCAACTCCGCACTTACGCCCCTCCCCCCCGCGTCTTTGCTGCTCCGCAGCAGCTAAGGCCCCTCACGCACTCGCCGCAAGAGCTAGCTAGCTGGCTAGCTAGCTGGCTAGCTAGCTTTCTAGCTAGCTGGCTAGCTAACTGGCTAAGTAGCTAGTTGGCTACTTTGCTGGCCACCTAGCTGGCTGGCTATCTAGCTGGCTAGCTACCTAGCTCTCTAGATAGCTATCTAGTTGGCTATGCGTATGGTTGGCTAGCTAGCTAGCTAGCTAGCTAGCTGGCTAGCTAGCTAGCTAGCTAGCTAGCTAGCGCTCTGGCTGGCACAAACTAGCTTGACCGACGGGTCCGCCTGGATTTCTGGCTGTCTTTATATTTCTAACGAAAGTTTTTCTTTTTCTTTTGCAATTAATATTCTTTTTTGTATTATTAATATAACTTTGGTGCCAAATAACACCAAAAGCAATACTTGCAGCGAGGTCACTAAAGTTCTGGCCTGCTGAGCCAAAAACCCACCGAAAGTCGCATGCATGCATGCATGCAAGCATGCATGCAAGTATGCATGCATGCATGCATGCATGCATGTATGCATGCATGCATGCATGCATGTATGCATGCATGCATGCAATTATGCATGCATGCATGCATGCATGTATGCATGCATGCATGCAATTATGCACGCATGCATGCATGCGACTTTCTGAACAAATGCATGCGGCTTCGGGACTGGGACAGACAAACGCCAAAAAGCGCCAGTTCTGCATGCATGCGTTCAACCCGCATGCAAGCATTTGCTTGCATGCACTTGCATGCGGAAGATGCCAAGAAAAAATAAATGTCTAAGGGCTTGCCCCGCATGCACAAATGCATGCATGCATTCACACATGCATGCACATGCACATGCACATGCACGCATTCATGCAAGCATTCACACATGCATGCATGCACATGCATGCATGCATGCATGCACGCATGCGAGAAAAGTGCATGCATGCATCGATGCATGCATGCATGCATGCACGCATGCGAGAAAAGTGCATGCATGCATGCATGCACTTTTCTAGGCTGCATACACCCATCCCTTCCTCTGTGCTTATGTTCAGGGCGACAGGCAGAAACAGAAGAACGTTCTGGGACTTGAAAGGCCCCGCTCGCTGCTGCTGCTTCTGCTGCTGCAGCTTCTGCTGCAGCAGCAGCAGCAGCAACTGCTGCTGCTTGTGTAGGGCCATTGTGGGGCGCAGCTAGCTGGCTCGTGGTGCAGCAGGGAGTGGCAGCAGCAGGCACAGCAGCAAGAAAAAGTAAAGAAAGAAATGACAAAAGATGAATTTGCAAATAAACTACTTTTATAATTAAAAGAGCAGCAGCAAAAGCTGCTGCTCAAACTTTTATATTCAAAGAGCAGCAGCAAACGGTGCTGCTCAAACCCACAAAATAAAGGCCCCCCCCAGCAGCAGCAGCACGCTGTGCAGCCCCACTTCTCTTGCTGCAGTGGCTTCTCCCGAGCTCAGCGAGTCCCCCGTTGCTGCTGCTGCTGTTGTTGCTGCTGCTGCTGCTGGGCTCGCAGCAGCTGCAGGGGCGCGGCCCGACCGCAGCGCCGGGGGCCCCTCAGGGGGCCCCCCGGGGCCCCCCGGGGGGCCCCCCTGGGGCCCCCCCTGACCCTCCAGGGGGCCCCCCTGACCCTCCACGGGGGCCCCCAAGGGGGCCCCCAGGGGGCCCCCCGTGTCAGTGGTGGCCTGCGGCAGCAGCGGGAAGGCAGCAGCCAGCAGCCTGGCCAAGTGGCTAGTCTTCAGCAGCAGCTGCTGCTGCAGCTCTGTGGCTAGCTGGCTAGCTGTTGGTTCTGCTGCTGGCTGCTGCGGGTCTGGCAGCAGCGCCAGCCGCACGGCGACCACCTGCAGCTCGCCGCTGCCGCTGCTGCCGCTGCCGCTGCTGCTGCTGCTGCTGCTGCTGCTGCTGCTGACGGAGACCTCCTCCAGAGCCACTCTTTCTGCTGCTACCCCCAAAGCCTGCAAGACTGCCTCGTGTACTTTTTGCCCGAAGGCCTGGGGCCCCTGGAAGCTGCTTTCGAGCTGCTGCTGCCCCACACCTGCAAACAGCAGCCGCACAATGGCCTTGCTGCTGCTGCTGCTGCTGGTGGCGGTGGCGTCGTCGGCGGGGCTGCTGCTGCTGCTGCTGCTGGTGGCGGTGGCGTCGTCGGCGGGGCTGCTGCTGCTGCTGCTGCTGCCGTCGCCGCCGCTGGTGCTGCCGCTGCTGTTGCTGCTGGCAGCGGCCGGCGCCGCAGCAACGCCGTCGCTGCTGCTGCTAGCTGCAGCAGCAGCAGCAGCAGCAGGCTCAGCAGCAGGCTTCTCCTGGCTTCCAGAACGGCCCATCAGCGAATGCGTAACAGCAGTTCCCACCATGCTGCCGACTGCAGCACCAACAGCAGAAGTGACAGCTGTGCGGGTCAGCGAAGGCCCAGCAGCAGCAGCAGGAGCAGCAGCAGCAGCAGCAGCAGGAGCAGCAGCTGGCTGCGCCACGCCACTCATTGGAGCTCCAGGGGTGCCCCACGCTGCAGCAGGGGGCCCCTGGCCTGCGAAGTGGGGGCCCTGCCCGTACGGCTGCTGCTCATGCAGCAGCTGCTGCTGCTGCTTCTGCTGCTGCTGCTGCTGCTGCGGGTGAAAGGTCTGGTAGGGATAGGCGGGCGGCGGCGGCTGCGGAGCAGCAGCAGCAGGGCCCGAAGAAAAGCCATAAGGCGTGGGAGCAGCAGCAGGAGCTGCTGCTGCAGGCTGCTGCGCTGCTGCAGGTGCTGCAGCTTGGGGCGCTGCTGCTGCAGCTGCTGCAGGCTGCTGCGCTCCTGTGGCTGCTGCATGCGTTTGCGGGCCCGCAGGCGCTGCTGCTGCTGCTGCTGCAGCGGCTGGGGGGTGCTGGTTTTGCTTCTCAGCAACAGCAGCAGCAGATGGAGGGCTAGAAGCAGCTGGAGTAGGCCCCGGCTTTTGGTGTCCATAATGCTGCTGCTGCTGCCCTTGCAGTTGAGGCTGCTGCTGCTGCCCATGTAGCTGCTGCTGCTGCGGGTGCTGCTGCTGCCCGTGTAGCTGCTGCTGCTGCGGGTGCTGCTGCTGCCCGTGCGGCTGCTGCTGCTGCTGCTGGTGCGGCTGCTGCGGCTGCTGCGGCTGTCGCTGAACCTGCTGCTGCGGCGGGGAGGGGGCGACCCGCTGCTGCTGCTGCTGCTGCGGCGGCGGCGGCCTTGCTGCTGGCGGCCTCACGCTCTGCGGCCTTGCTGCTGCTGCGGGGACAGAGGGCCGCACGGAACGGCTGCGGAGGCTGCGTGGCCTTTGAGAGCGCTGCAGCAGCAAACAGCACAGAGCAGCACACGGGGAGCTAGGGTTTAGGGTTTAGGGTTTAGGGTTTAGGGTTTAGCTTTTAGGGATGCGGAGGCCGTACATGGCGCCGTACTATGCTTTGGGCCGCCACGGAGGTGGGGGACTGCGGCCCCGGGCCAAGGAGCAGCAGCAGCAGCAGCAGAGCTGCTGCTAGCTGCAGCTTGCGGCCTATCACTGGCATGGTGAGGGTTTAGGGTTTAGGGTTTAGGGTTTGCAAGGCATCTGCGTGCGGGTGCCCAGGCCCAAAACCCTGAAGGAGCAGTTTAGGCGAACGCTCCGCTGGGCTCTGTTCAATATAAAAGACAAATTGAAGTGACAAATTAAATTGCTGCTGGATGCGCAAAAGGAGAAGGAAGGCGCTGCTGCTGCTGCTGCTGCTGCTGCGGCCCTGCGACCCCAGTTCTCTTCTGTCGGCCACACAGCCACCCAACTCCCAGTGCAGGGGCTCCCGCAGCAAAGTTCAAGATAAACGCCAACACAATTCAATTTAATTAATTAAATTTATTATTATTTAGCTTTTTTGAGGGCACAGCACTAGCAGCTGCGCTGGGACAGAAGAACTTGCACAGGGACCCCAGCCCCTGGAGTAGTCCCTGGGGGCGGCTATGCTGCAGAAAGCGGCTTCTTGCGCGTAAATTGTTGCTTTTTGTATCTTTTCTAATTGCTAAAAAGTTGCGTAAAACAAAAAGTAATCAAATTGAGGAATAAACGGGGCTTTATTTGGTATTTCCGCCTCAGACTGTGTGTAACAGCTGCCGAGGTGGCGCCGCCTCCCCACGAGTGGTCACGCCATCGAATGTGCCAAATTCAAGAAAAAACAAACCCCCAACTTCTCCAAAAAAGGCATTTCAATTTTTTAATTATTTAAATTCCGCCTGACACATTAAATTGGAATTCGAGGGAGTGTGGCGGAGGCGAAGCTGCACAGGCGGGCACCTGCCGGGTTCTGCAGCTGTGTGCAGTGCAGCTTGTTCTTTGTGCCGGCATTTCGCGCAAACTTTTGAATTTCCGCAATTCATTTATTTACTTTTCATTTTTAAATAATTAGAGCTTTCAAAAGGTGAAAAGAGAAGAGCCAGGAAGCGAAAATGCCAGTGTGCGTGCGGCGCTTGCTGTGGGGCTGTGGACACACTAGTGCCGATTGAGTCCGAAGCCGCCGCGAGCTGCAGCAAAAGTGACCCTAGTCTTTTAAATTCCTTTTTTAAATGAATTTGAAATTTAAAATCATTTGAGGAGAAGTTTCCACGGCGTTGCGGCGGACGAAGGGTTTCAAAGGCTTCTTGAAGAGCCCTAGATCCAGCCCACGCCGGGAAACAAGTTCTTGAACATGAACGGAAACTCACAGACATTTCCCGGAAAACTCAAGAAAGGATAATTCAAACTGAAAAGTACAATTTTCTGCAAATAAAAGCCACAAAAAGGGCTCCTGGGGCAGCTTCTTGGGCACTAGTGTCACAAAATTCAGTACTGCATTGCGGAGTTCTGCTGCGGTTCACATGCAGCTTCTTGCTGCTGTTCTTTGAATTACCCCTGACTGAATCTGGCTAAGTCTGGGGAGGCAGCTGCGGGCCATTAGTCATTAGTGGGGCTAATAATGCCTTTTTAGGGCAACACGAGAAGATAAGAAACAGCAGCAAAACGGAAGCAGAAACGCCAGCCCGCTAGCTGCTCCTGAGATGTTCACTGCTCCAAACACTCGCCAAAAACGCCGGAAATGGATTAATTTGAGTTTATTGAATTGTTCGATCTAGAAATTCGAAAAAAATTAGCAAAGTAGTTGCAAGAAAATCCTTTTCAGCGCACTTGGCTGCACCCCAGCAAGTGAGCTGGAACTTCTCTCTGTGGGCCAAAAAACTATCTGTCTGAAGACAAACTCTTTAATCCTGTTTGTTCCAAAAACTTTAAAAATAGAAAAGAAAAAGAAAAGAGCCTTCCAAATGGATCCAGGAAACTTTTTGTAGCTTTCTGTACTTGTTAGCTTCTAAAAATACCATTTTTTCGATTTTTCAGTTTTTTCCCCATTCTCGCCTCCACTTCTAAAAGTGTTAATATAGCTTTCCTAACTTTATCTTATTTTGCCTAAACTGGTTGCAGAAAAGGGCCTTTTCTGGGCTGCTGGGCCTTTGCTGGTTGCTGCTGCTGCTGCTGCTGCTGCTTCTCCTGCTCGGTGCTGCAGCAGGACCTTCTTTTCCTGCCCGCTGCTGCTGCTGCAGATACTTCGCAGCAAATGTGCCTTTCGCAGCAGTTGCCATCTCAGGTGAAACCTGCTGCTCCTCTGTAAAGCAGAAGCTGCGAAGTACATGCAGCGGCTGCTGTCTGCTGCTGCAGCAGGCGGCAGCAGCCTGCTGCAGCAGACGGCACCAAACTGCAGCCTGTGTCATTTACTGCAGCCTTTGTCCTGTTTGCTGCAGCCTCTGTCCTATTTGCTGCTGCCTCTGCGTATGTCTAACTGGCTGCTGGTTCTGTCCTACTTGCTGCTGCCTGTGCCCCTGTTCTATTTGCTGCCGCTTCAATCCTATTTGCTGCTGCTTCTGTACTATTTGCTGCTGCCTCAGTTCTATTTGCTGCTGCTGTTGTGTCTTCTTTATTTTTCGTCTTCTCCACAAAAGTCCTTAAGTCCTTTTCTACGCCAAAGGCTCTTTCTGTTAAGCCAGCCGCAGCTGCCCCACGCAGCAGCAGCAGCAGCTGCTGCTGCAGCAGCAACTGCAGCGGCAGCTGCAGCAGCAGCTGCAGCGCAGGAGACGCTGCTGTGCGGTACGTCTCCCACTGAATGCAGCAGCAGCGCGAGGCCCACAAAAGGCGCCGCCGCCGCTGCAGCAGCAAGCGCTGCAGCAGCAGCAGCAGAGCCGCTGCAGCAGCAGGGGCTCGCGCATCAGGCAGCAAATAAAAGACTAAAGCGGGACTTGTCTCCCAGCCACTGCAGCAGCAGCGCGAGACACACAGCAGCAGCAGTGCAGATTGGCAGAAAGAATCCGCTGGGTCTGACGAGGGCCAGTGCTGCGGTGTACGTACACCTGAGCAGCGCTGCTGCTTCCGTCTGCTGCAGCTGCTGCAGCAGCTGCAGCGGCAAAAACGCAGCAGCTTTCCGCTGCTGCTGCAGAAGCAAATAATCTACTGACACAAATGCAGAGGGCAGCGGCTGCCGCCAAGCAGCACTAGGAGCAGCAGCAACTGGTACGTGTCTGTACACCTCAGGGCAGCAGCTGCTGCGCGCTGGGACTGCTGCTGCTGCTGTTGCTGCTGCTCCTGCTGCTGAAGCTGATGAAGACGCAGGTGACGGTGATCGCGCTCCGCTCTGTGGAGCGCTGCAGCAGGAGCAGCAGCAAGGATGCTGCTTGCTGCTTGCTGCTGCAACAGCTTTGGCCGCAAGCAGCAAGGACTCCTGCGGCTGCTGCAGCTGCTGCTGCTGCGAAGCAGCATCTGGAGAGAGGGCCCGAACCCACGCTGCTGCAGCCACCGAGCCGGGCTGCCCGCCTTTGCTGTCAGCAGCAGCAGCAGCAGCAGCAGCAGCAGCAGCAAGAGCACTGTACGAAGCTGCTATATGGGGCATGCGGGGGCCAACGATGCTGAAGAAGGCCTGCGGATACGACAAGCGGACGCAGTAGCAGCGAGACTGTGTGTCTGCTGCTGCTGCTGCTGCTGCTGTTGCTGCTGGTGGTGCTGCCTGAGTTTCCAGCGCTGCTGTGTCTGGCTGCAGCGAGAAGGGCAGCAGCAGCGGGGAGAAAGGCAGCAGCGTGAGCCCGTCTGCTGCAGCAAGCTGCAGCAGCTGCTGCTGCGTCAGCTCGTGCTGCAGCGCGTCGTGGGCCTGCAGCAGCAAATCCTCAAGACAAAGTCTCCCCAGGTGTACGCGCTGCAGCACTGCATGCACCTCCCCATACACCGCGTCCCCCAGCTGCTGCCTGCACTGCTGCAGCAGCTCGGGCTGCTGCAGCAGCAGCTCGCACAGCGCCACCACGTCCACCCCCCGCGCTCCCCCGCCCCCTCCCCGCTGCTGCTGCTGCTGCTGCTGCTGCAGCTGCTGCTGCAGCTGCGGGGGCGCGGCGTCCGCGAGGGCGCAGCGGCAAACTGCGAAGAGGCGGCGGCGCTGCGCGCGGACTGCAGCAGCAGCAAAGTGCAGCACGAGCAGCGGATGTGCTGCCAGCAGCAAATCGAGCAGCCTTGCTGTCAACTTGAAAGGATTTGCTGCATGCGTAAACCAAGTAATGAGCCAGGAGACACAAGGCAGCAGCTCGCCGCCCGGGGTGTGCGCAGCAGCAGAACACAGCCGCAGCAGCACCCACAGCTGCGGGTCTTGCTGCTGCAGCAGCAGCGACAGCAGCCGCACCGCAGGCAGCAGCGAGGCCTCAAATGCTGCAGCAAGGTAGTCGCTGATGCAGCAAACGAAAACTCTTTCGCAAAGAATGAAAGACAAGCAGCAGCAAACCAAAGACAACCCGCTCCCCGGGCAAAGCACTGCAGCAGCAGCAGCAGCAGCACCGCGCCCCCGCACGCACGCCCGCAGCAAGCAGCAGCAAGGCACTCTACACAAAAGCGCCGCGTCCACGCTGTTGCTGCTGCTCCTGCTGCTGCTGCTGTTGCTGCTGCTGCTGCTGTTGCTGCTGCTGCTGCTGTTGCTGCTGCTGTTGTTGCTGCTGCTGTTGTTGCTGCTGCTGCTGTCGCTGCTGCTGCTGCTGTTGCTGCTGCTGTTGCTGCTGCTGTTGTTGCTGCTGCTGCAGCAAGCTGCAGGGAATGGCCCGTGTGAGCCTCCCTGGAGCTGCTGCTGCATGCTGCAGCAAACGCCGCGGGCGACCAGCTGTCTGTACACCTCAGCAGCATTCAGCAGCTGCTGCAGCGCCTCTGCTGCTGTCAGCAGCAGCGCAGCAGCAAGATCATGCATGCCCTGTGCGTACACCAGAGTGGGCAGGTGCCGCGCCAGCAGCCCCAGCAGCAGCAAACGCAGCGCCCCGCGCAGGCTCTCCAAACTGCTGCTGCTGCTGCTGCTGCTCCGCCTCCTGCTGCTGCTGTTGTTGTGGCTCGTGCTGCTGCTGCTGCCTCTGCGGCTTGGGCTCCTGCTGCTGTCACACGGCTCCAGCTCGTTGCTGCTGCGCCGAATGCCATTCCATGATTCGCTGCTGCTGCTGCTGCTGTTTTGGCTGCTGCTCAGCGGATCGGGTGGGCCATCGGATACGCTGAGGAAGCTGCCGCTGCTGCTGTCGCTGTCGCTGTTCTCCCCGCTGCTGCTGCTGCTGCTGCTGCTGCTGCTGAGCTTCCAGGCTGTGAACGAACGCTGCACATCCTTTTCTACTTGCTGCTGCTCGTTGCTGCCCTGCAGCAGCTGCGCCTCAAGCCACCAGGGCAGCACGGGAAAGGGCCCTGCCGTGTCTTCCTCCACTTGCTGCTGGTTTTTGCCAGTCTGCTGCTGCTGCTGCTGCTGCTGCTGTTGCTGCATTTGATGCTGCGCAGCAGCAGCGAGCTGCAGAGGCGAGACATCGTCGGGAAGCCGCCCGAGCAGCAGCAGCAGCAGCTCGCAGACAAAACTTTCTGTGTCTTTGCTGAGATCATCTGCTGCCCACGTCCATGCCTGCTGCTGCTGCTGCTGCTGCTGCTCGTGTGGCCGTGATCTTTGACGGCTGCGAGAGGGCCTTGCAGCTGCTGCTGCTGTGGCTGCGCTCTGTTGCCCCTCGAGCGGCGCCGTAGCCGGTGACCTGCTGCTGCTGCTTGCTGCTGCTGCTGCCGCTGCTGCTGCAGCAGCTGCCGGGCTCTCAGGAATGCCATCAGCAACAGCATGGGCCGCGTCGCGCAGCAGCAGCGCAGCAGCAGCAAAAACAGCGGCAGCCGCCAGCAGCTAGCCCTGAAGCCACCGGTGGATCGAGACAACTCAGCAGCAAATGCACGAATGCCGTTGTCGCTGCTGCTGCTGCTGCAGTTCTTGCTGCTGCTGCTGCAGCTGCTGCTGCTGCTTTCCTCCTCGTTCTGAGAGCAGCACTGCCTTTTCGCGAGACGGCAGACCTCCCTTGCAGCAGCAGCTGCTGCTGCTGCCTCTGCTGCAGCAGCAGCTTCTGCTGCTGCTGCATCTGCTGTACCAGCACAGCCTGACCCATTGCCGTAGTCTGGGTCAGGGCTATTGCCTCTGCTGCTGCTGCTGCAGTTGCTGCTGCTCCTCCTTCTTGTGGCTTTCTTGGGGCGGAAACGGCGTCGTTGCTGGTGCTGCTGCAGCTGCTGCTGTTGCTGCTGCGGCTCTGTCGGCCCCATTTTCAGTGCCAGTCAGTGTTGCTTCTTTGGAACTGCTGCTGTTGAGTTGCTGCTGCTGCTGCTGCGCTGCTGCAACCGCGAAATGGAGGGCCCCTGAAGAGACCCATGGTGCAGTGCCCTCTTAGGAAGGACCCGCCACTGTGCCGTCTTGCTGCTGCAGCAGCTGCTTTTGCTGCTGCTGCTGCTTCTGCCTTGCCTCCCAGCTGCTGCTGCCTTGTAAACCGCAAAGACACAAACTTACACTTTTTCCTGCTCGACAGGCTGGGAAGCAATGAAGAGCGCGGGCTGTTGCTGCTGCTGCTGCTGCTGCCAACGACACCCTGGGGGCCCCACCGGGCGCAGCAGCTGCAGGAGCAGCAGCTGCAGCAGCAGCAGCATGGGCCGCTGCTTTTGCCGCTGCTCTAAACACAACCCAATTACTTTTATATCTCAAGTGTAGCAACACCTGATTGACTTCCGCTCGCGGAGTGTCTTGTTGGAGCAGCCGTTGCTCCTCCCCGGACCTGCAGCAGCAGCAGCGGCAGCAGCAGCAGCAACAGCAGCAGCCTCGGTGAAGCAGCGCCAGAAGACCTGCTGCTCCCCGCGAGCCTTATTTCGCTCCAAGAAGGGCCTACGGGCGCTGCACTGGAGAACGGCGCTGCCAGCAGCAGCAGCAGCCGCCGCCGCCGCAGCAGCCGCAAGCATACCTGCAGCGGCAGCAAAAACAGCAGCAGCAGCAGCAGCAGAAGCGCAGCAGCAGCAAGCTTGCCACCAGTAAGGTGGCAGAAGCTGCACGTGGAAGCCGTGCACGGCAGCAGCGCAGCCTGGAGGGCTGCAAGGCGCAGCAGCAGCCTGAGCAGCAGCAGCAGCAGCAGCAGAAGCGCAGCAGCAGCACCGCAGCTGGTCCAAACAAAACGAACCTGCCTCAGAAGCAGGGCGAAAGGCTTTGGCCTTCACGGCGCTGCCGTCGCCGCAGCAGCAATAGCAGTAACTGCTGCTGCAGCAGCAACTGCAGCAGCCGCAGCAGCAGCAACAGCAGCAGCCGCAGCAGCAACCACAGCAGCTAGCGTGGCTGCTGGCGCATCAGCAGCAGCGCCGCCGTCGTGCTGCCCTCCAAGGACATTTTCATGTGGTGCAGCAGCACCAGCAGCAACCAAGTAAGAAGCAGCAGCAGCAGCAGCAACGTTGGTTACTGGCGAAGAGCTACCAAATGCCACCAGAGGATGAGCCGCAAGCCACTGCTGCTGCTGCTGCAGCCGATGGCAGCAGCGGCACCCACAGACCGCTGTGCAAAAACAGCAGCAACAATAGTGGAAGCAGCAGCAACAGGAGCACAAGCAACGCGAGCAGCAGCAGCAGCAGCAGCAGCAGCAGCAGCAGCAGCAGCGGCAGCGGCAGCAGCAGCGAGCATGGAGCTGCTGAGGGCGGCACAGTGGGAGACGCCCAGTCGAGCAGCCGCAGAGCTGTTTACAGTAATGGCGAAGGCAGCAGCAACAGCGACTGCAGCAGCAACTGCAACAGCAGCAACAGCAGCAGCAGCAGCAGCAGCGACAGGAGAGACGATGCCGCAGCCGGTCTTGTGCCTCCAGCAGCTGCTGCTGCAGAACAAGCCATGCCTGTTGTGGGTACCGCTGAAGAGCCCAGCAGCAGCAGCAGCAACAGCAGCAGTAGCAGCAACTGCAGCAATGACAGCAGCAGCATTGCGGGTACTACACCCAACGACAGCAGCAGTAACAGCAGCAACAGCAGCAGCAGCAGCCTTGACCCTCACACTAAAGGACTTGCTACTTTAGGCCTACCGGGAGATGCCTTGAGCAGCAACAGCAGCAGCAGCAGCAGCAGCAGCAGCAGCCAGTGGAATGGCCCCCGCGGAGACGGAGCTAATAACATTGAAGCATCGGCCAGCACATTTGCTGCAGTCGCTGTTATAGTTGCTGCAGCAGCAGCAAGAGCTGCAGCAGCAAATGCAGCAGCAGCTACTGCAGCAGCAGCAGCTACTGCAGCAACAGCAGCAGCACCAACGCAAGCAAGTACACCAGCGACGACACCAGCAGCAGCAGCGCCGACAGCTTCTGCAGGGGATGCAGCAGCAGCAGCAGGAGCAGCAAGAGCTAGTGTTGAAGACCGCAGCAGCAGCAGAAGCAGCAGCGAAGGCAGCAGCAGCAACAACTGCGAAGGCATCATTAACGGCGTACGCAGCAGTATTAGCATCACTAGCAGCAACGAAGACAACAGCAGCAGCAACAGCAACGGCGAGTGCAGCGGCAGCAGCAGCAGCAGCAGCAGCAGCAGC